TGCTGTTCCTTGTTCTTATTTTACATATAGACGGTAAAAAAAGTGGCTTTAATTATTTACATTATATCTTCTTGCTTCCCTCCTGTGCATTGAAGCAATAGGACATAATTTGTCAAGAAAAAAAGAACCACAGAAAGGGTCAAGTATCACAGATGTTCAAAAGAGATCTTTTGCCCAGCACATCACAAGTTCTTTAGTACTTTTTATGTGCTAAACATTTGGCTAACGTTACCACTGAATCTTCAGAAATTTCAGGGCAGGTAAGTTTCATGCTCCCCAATTATAGAAGGAGAGAGGTAAAGAGGTTAAATGACATGCTTCTAAGCAGAAAGAAGAATTGGACTCAAAGCTAGGAGAAGCCCTCAGAGTATCTTAATCTTAATTATATATTCATTATATTCATCAGAAATTAAATATCATTAATTGATGCCTGTGTGAAGTGGTTTAAATTCAGGGAGGTACTTTGAGAGAACAAACCAGCAGGATGCTATAGGGAGAGACATCTTATTTTGTGCTAACTGTACACCAGGTTTTCTGATATCCAGCCTTGTTTCCTATTAACCGCTGTAAGATCTTGTAGGTAAAAGGAGAAGAAGACTGTACCAGCTTTACAAAACAGATGATGCTCTGTTTATTAATCAATAGGAAGAGGAAACATTATTTCAGTAACAGAGCAGCACTAATGGTCTTGGATGCTTTGAAAGTAGGGCTATGAAGAAATTTAGTTGCTGCAGTGAGAAAACCAGAGGATAAAGGAACATGTAAGAGTGTGGAGGAAATCTGACATCAGGATTCATCCACACTGCAGTACAGTGCACAGCTCGCCTTTTCCTCACGCATCCTGAGTTCATTGCTATTCTAACTTCAGTGTGTATCCGAATTACCTGAAGGTGCTTATCAAACATGCTTAATCCACTGGGCTATGCCCAGAGATACTGCTCTGGTAGGTCAGGTCTGGGTCAGAATTCAAGAATCTGGGCTTAACAGGTTCCAATGTAGACAATAGTGCAAGGTTGATTCCCACCATAATTTGGAGCACACACCCCAATACTGTCACTCCGTCTAGGTGAGTATCTTCCTTTCTTCTGCCAGTCACATCCCCCCAAGCTGATGGGTTCCAAGCATCACGAATCACATAAAACAGTCATCCATGTCACCTCCCTTGTGAAGTGTTTCCTGAGTTCCCCCAAGCTAAATGAGCTGCTTAGTCCTTCCAGAGCTAATACTTTTATTATAGCACGTATGAAACTATATGATAATTATCTTCTTAGTGAGTCATTCCCCTATCAAAATATGGGCAACTTAAATATAGTGGATTCATTTTTACAACTCCTGAACACTTCTTGGCACAGAGCAGGTATTGAAAAAAAAATTTTTTGCATGGGAAAGTGAAAATGTAAAAGAACAATGAAATTAAAGTGTGACAGGTCTTGGTTAGTACTTCTATCGCAATGGTTGAGCAATGCAGGGGTTAGAGGCGCCAACTCCCTCTGCAGCCAAACATCCATGTATAGCCTCTGACTCCTCTAAACTTAACTACTCATAGCCTACTGTTCACTGGAAGCCAAAAAAACCATTGATTAACACCTACTTTATATGTTGTATGTATTATGTACTGTATTCTTACAACAAAGTAAACTAGAAAAAGTAAAGCATTATTAAGAAAATCATACGGAAGAGGAAGAAAAGTGCAATTACCATTTCTTTGTTCAGTGGAAGTGGATCATCATAAAGGTCTTCATTCTCGTTGATTTCACATTGAATATGCTGAGGAGGAGGAGAAAAGGAGGAGAGGTTGATCTTGTTATCTCAGGGGTGGCAGGGGTGGAAGAGGTAAAGGAGACGAAAGAGGAGCCAGGAGAGGCAGACACACACAGAGTCACCTTTATTGAAAAGAATCTACATGTAAGTGAACGCACACAGCTCAAATTCGTGTTGTTTAAGGGTCAATTTTATATGGTTTAACTAGATGAAAGAGTGTCTTATTTTGGGGAGGTTGCCATTAAAAAACACCATAGACTGAATGCTTAAACAACAGAAATGTACTTTTCACAGTTCTGAAGACTGGAAGACCCAAGATCAAGGTGCCTGCAAGGTAGATTTTACTCTGGACCTCTTCTCTTGACTTGTAGGATGCCACAGTCTTGCTGTGTGCTCACTTGACCTCTTCTTCATGTGATCTTTGGGAGAGAGAGAAAAAACAAGTTCTCTGATGTCTCTTTTTTTTTTTTTCTTGAGACAAAGTTTCACTCTTGTCATCCAGGCTGGAGTGCAATGGTGCAATTCTGGCTCACTGGGACCTCCACCTCCCAGGTTCAAGCAATTCTCCTGCCTCAGCCTTCTGAGTAGCTGGGATTATAGGCACCCACAAACACACCTGGCTAATTTTTGTATTTCTAGTAGAGACAGGGTTCGCCATGTTGGCTACGCTGGTCTTGAACTCCTGACCTCTGTGATCCGCCCTCCTCAGCCTCCCAATGTGCTGTGATTACAGAATGTGAACCACCAGGCTCAGCCTGATGTCTCTTCTTATAAGAACACTAATCGAATCACGAGGGCCCCAGCATTATCACCTTATCTAACCTTCATGACCTCCCAAAGACCCTCCAAATACAATCACATTGGGGATGAGGACTTCAACATATGAATTTTAGGGAGACACATTAAGTCCATAACAAAAGGTAATAAACAGGTTATCTGAAGTTTTCTCTGGCTTGGGCTTCTTCCCTTAATATTAAACCACATGAAGTTCTAGATTCTGCATCTAAAAAATGAGGCTTTACTTTCCCCATCACAGTTATTGTTGAGGAAACATGCTGAAAGGGCCCTGAAAATCGTAAAGCATTACACACAGTGGGGTTAATATAAGGTCATCTTTAATTCAGAGGCTACTGCAGTCTGTGAGAAATTCCTAAATTGCTAGTAGTGCCACACAGAAACTAAGCAGGACTGGCAATCAGTAAAGCTGGTATTTTAACTCTTTGACAGCTTAGCAATTTTTGCCACGATGTAATGTTTATTGATTTATTTGAATAATTTGATAAACATAATCTGTATAATAATTGTCATTAGCTTTCTTTGTAGGCAAACTAATGAGAATGCAGAAGGAAATTTCGTGCATTACATTAACTTTTATTTGCATTTTTTGGCAGTCATAACACAAGGTTGGCTCCTTACAGTGAGGCCTATGCTGAACTAAAACACTATCCATCGCCCCAGTGGTATGCCAGGGGCCAATCGTACTCTTTGTTTTTTCGAGAAGGAAATTTTTACTGTCATGTAATGCTCAGGTTTATGCCACATAGGGGATAACAGAGAGAACATACATCCCTAGAGGGTGGCAGGAAGGAATGGATACGAAAAGAGGATAGATGAGTTCCTGGTCTTTCTGCATTAGCCACTGACTCAGGTAAGCAACTTGTCATCTTGGGAAACATTCAGGAAGTAAAAGAGGAGATAAAGTCATTAAAAACTGCAATGAGATAAACTATGGCAGTGATCATCTTTGGATGCCTTAGTGGAGTCAAAGGGGCCAAGAAAAAAATGAGATAAACTTGAAGTACTGACAAAAGGGGGTACTGCCAAAAAAAAAAAATGCCGTTTTATATAACTAATGAGGTATGGCTAGCCTCTTCTTTGCAATGCCCAGGACTTTTTCTCTTGCTTTCTCATCCTTTTTCTCTTATATTCCTTGCCTTCTTGCGGGCTGCTCTTTTCTTCCCTTGACTACTCTCTGTTGTACGTTGTGCATAAAGAAAGGGCAGTGATGCTTTGGGAGAATTTTTACCGAAGTATCTTCACTTTTATGATCTCAGCACACAGTACATCCAGTCTCCCTAGCTCTGAGATTGTTCATTTATGATACAACATTTTGATCTCAGAGTGAGACAGAGAAAGCCAAAACAAGGAACACTCCTACGTCTACAGAATAAAGATAAATCTGATGGCTCTGACCCACAGGCCTAGCCACCTGAAAGTACCACATACAGACAGAAATAAATACTCTCTAAAGATTTCTTGCTGATCATTTAAATTTTAATTTGATCCAAAATCATTCTATGTTCTACATTTTTGTTTGATCTCACACAAACAAAATGGCAGTGTTATCAACGAAGAAGAAATGGAGCAAAGGCGTTTTCAAAGCAAGATCACAGCTAAAATTTTAAGACAAAGGCTTAATTATAGGTTCAAGACTTTTCACTATTTCCATAACTTTTGTATTTACATGAAGTGCTAGAAAAGCAAAGTGTCTTATTTTGGGAAAATCAATTTCAAATTTAGCCTGGCCTTGCTTGTTATTTTGCATCTGATTTTTTAAAGAATAATTTAAAAACCTGAAAGCAGACAACATTATTAGCATTATTAGACCCACTGCTTTTGAAGTTATTTTTCAAAAGCAGTGCGTCTAATAATGATAATATTGTTGTGGAATTATGTCCAAGTCTGTCTCCTTTCAGTTCTTCTTTCTTTAGTTGTGAGATTATGTCCAAGCCTGTCTCCTTTCAGTGCTTCTTTCTTTAGAATGAATTTTCATGTCTGCATTTTTTTGTCCAGACTGATTGTGATTAACACTTAATCACTGGAATAGTCCAAAATTCCCTTTTTGAGCCACTTCTCCTTGTCCTTATCTTTACTTATTCTTCTTGTCTCTAAAGCCCCTTATCTTAGAAATAAACATCCTGTTGAGTGCTGTAGTCTTTGCAGTATTGAAATAGAGAAAACTATGTACCTAGGCTTCCAGAGTTTGGAGCAGGTACTTAGTAAACATGCAGGCCGATAGGCAAAAACAAGCAGAATTTCAATTTCCATACAAATCTTTGACTAATAAGAGTTTCTCATATCTCCAGGTTACATCAAGCTGACTCATGAGGGTGACATTGGGAGCACCCTCAAGAGTCTCAACAAGGCTTTGCTTACTGTATTAATCAGGGTTCTTTAAAGGAACAGAACTGCTAGGATAGATGTATACTAGGGGGTTTATTAAAGGAGAATTGACTCACATGTTCACAAGGTGACATCCCGTGATAGGTCATCTGCAAGTTGAGGAGCAAGAAAGTCAGAGTCCCAAAACCTCAAGTCAGGAAGCTGACTGTGCATTTTCAGTCTGTGGTCAAAGGCCCAAGAGCCCCCAGCCAACCACTGCTGTAAGTCCAAGAGTCTAAAAGCTGAAGAACCTGGAATCTGATGTTTGAGGGCAGGAGACATCCAGCATGAGAGAAAGATGAAGGCTGGAAGACTCGGCAAATCTGCTCTTCTATCTTCTCCTGCTGCTCTATTCTAGCCACGCTGGCAGTTGATTAGATGCTGCCCACCCAGATTGAGGGCGGATCTGTCTCTCCCAGTCTACTGACTCACATGTTAATCTCCTTTGTCAACACCCTCACAGACACACCCAGGAACAATACTTTGTATCCTTCAGTCAAGTTGACATTCAATATTAGCCATCACACTTAAAAATTGTCATTTACCTGCGTGTTGTATTAGACTCCTGTAAGCTGGAAATGTCCTGACCACCACCTGCACTCTCAATTAAAGTAGGAAACTCATGTTTTTATCATACTATTTATTTTCGATTCTTTTCTTCATTCTTTGAATCACACATTGAACAAAAATATATAAAGCACCAATGATGTGTTATATATATGCTTATATTCTTGAAAAATAAATATTAATGTTCTACACTTTCAGGAAGCTCATAGTCTAGTGAGGAAAAAAGGCATAACCAGATAGATCCAGTTCAGAGAAAAATATCATGCAAGTACCTTTAGACGCTTATCACAGTACCTTCTAATAAATATGGATAGGGACTGTTTTTAATTGGGAAAAATAAAAATGAAATCAATAGTCATTACCTAGTACTTAAATATAAACAAGTTCATATGACTGGTAAATCACATGACAAGTAAATGCTTTCATTTATTGAAAAACAGAGAAAGAAGGAAAAATAAATAAATATTTATTTTTTTTTAAATCTAGCTTTAGATTATTTGGAAATATCACCTACTTTCTCTAACACAGATGCACCTGCAGCTTTCAACTCATTTCCTAGTACTCTCTAGGTAAACAATGCACATTCATTTTGTGATTCATTTATTATATATTTCTGGAGCACTGATGGTATGACAGATTCTGTGTGAGAAAGCATTGAGAATGAAAGGGTGAGCAGGAGTTACTAAAAGAAAGAGGTTAGGATGAGATGGGGTTGTGATTCAGAATGAAAAGCAAATACAGAAGCCCTCCCCAAGAAAGATACAGTACATTGACACTAAAAAACTATACTTCATTCCAGGGAACAGAGCAATAAGAATTGAGTCTTCAAGGGAAGGCAGTGCCAGATGATGAAGCATGCGTACACTCCATGCCAAACAGAACAGACCAAGACAGCAGACAGGAGGGCCAGAGAACACAGGGAATGTGTTCTCTAGCAAAGAGCTAAGGGGAAGAAAATGAACCAAACAAGAACTTTGTGGGAATGAGGAGAAGTAAAAGGAGTTGAGAAATGCTAGATGTAGAAAAGATATATTCTGAGGGATTATTTAATCTAGTGTTGGGAAGCAAGAAGGGAAAATGAGATGGAAAAAATGTGAGTTTCAGCTCCAAGCAACAAGATGAGTAATAATGGTGCCACTTTCTGAGATACAGGCCAGGAGTGAAGCTGTTTGGGAGGGCAGGGGGCGGGGGAAGATTAGGATTTCAATCTAGACCATGCTGGGTTTTGAGGCATGTATCTGACACTATACAGACACGGTCTCTAGAAAACATGAACCTTGAGCTCAACAGTGCACAAGATTGGAATAAAAGAAATCTCCCAAAGTTTTAGAGTAGAAAGAGAATGTAGAGCAGAATTCCTCAAATATGATCTGAGCTTTATATTATTCAATTATTCAAAATTACATTTTCATATGCAATAACTGCAGTTTTAATTGCTCATTTATTCAAGTGTATTAATCTATTTCTATGTCTTAGATGCTAGACACAGAGTACCGAACAAGATGTAATCCTGTTAAATCCGCGTCCTCAAACTCAAAATGTGCAGAAAAGCCTTTTTGGCACAGAACCTGAAAAGGCCTTCCCTCTGTCTCACATGGAATGAAACAAAGTTTAGTGTCTGCAGAAACACGCCTAGAACCAGACTGGTTGGGTTTAAATTGCAGTTTCACCACCTGCTGGATAAGATTAGAAAGTTTCTTAAACTTTCTGTGCTGCTTTTTTTCCCACCCATCTTAAAAGCAATAGTAATAATAGTTACTCTTTCACAGGGTTGTTATGAAGATTAAAACAAAGCACTTGGAATACTCCCTGGCACAGAGAAAATGCAATAAAAGTGCCATCCATTATTGGTGCTACCTAAGTACATTCAAGGAGCTCACTCAAAAAAGCACATGAAGAAGAAACTTACCACATAGGCATTGCTGACTTTGTATAATTGCCTGCCAGCAGGTGCCAGGCTAGTAGACTGTGAATCATAATTGAAACTGAAAAAATTGATTATAAAATTTTGAGCGATTTCAAGGTAATTTCACTAATATTACATCATGAAACATGAAGCATTATGAAGACTCCTGATAAAAAAACAAAAGAGAAGAATAAATGCTGCATAATCATTTGATTCAACCTGGAGGCAGGTTCAGTAGTCACACTCCAAACATGGAGACCCTCAAACACCACAGTTTTCAGTAAAAAACAAAGTGGCTGTACAACATGGATTTCTAATCTTGAAGCCCACTATTGAAAAATGCGGGCACACCTGCTCTATAAAGAGAGCTGCTTTAGGCTGTGCTGATCCAAAGACATATGAACTACCTTATTTCAAAGCACTCCAGATTTATCGACTTCTTTCAACACATGCTGGAGTGGAGCACTTTCCACTGGTTTGCACAGTGCTCATCTTCTATATTCAGCTTATTCTTCCTTCTCCTCTGTAAATAGTTGTGGAGTGTGATTCATTCTATTCCTAAAGGACTCCTTCAATCACAGCACAGGTCCCAAATGGGAGGATGGCATTGGATCTGGAAAATAAGTTTACTGTGATCTAGCATGAACTAACACTGCCTATATCATTCAAAATGACTGGCTTACAGTCATGGATGTGGTGGCTCCAATTAACCTGCTCCATAAATACTTTTTTAGTCAAGTCAGGCCAAAGAGATTAATGTATTTCAATTTGGAAATATTATTTAAAATTGACTGGTCCTAAGAGAGATTAGAAATACTGCCATTGACCACACACACGGAGTCATGAACCAATTATTTAACGGGCAATGTAATAACTGAGAAACTATTCCTATCTTCCATTCCACCATATATTGAAAGCCACAACAGGAACTTAATAGGCTGCATGTATACTGGAAAAAAAGGGTGGGGCTGAGTGAAGGCCAGCAATATCTGAATACACATATCTCATAGAAGATTTATGTGCAGTATGATCCGATGGTGATTCCAAGGTAAAAATGACTAGAAACCAGTATCTAGATTCTTCTTACTTATTATGTTTGAAAAATGCAATGAATAGGTACATTGGATATTTGTTTTATAAAGGACTCTGAACATTAAAGTGTGAAGATAAAATTCAGTTTCCTACTGTTTTGTCTATACAACCACAGAATGCTAGCTGTGATTGAAAGATCTTTTATCTGCACGAATCAATATTTATGAGACCTAACAATTGTCTTAGAGAGACTGACTTAATGAACTACATACAGTAACTTAAATTGACCAAATATTTCAATAGATTTGTCATGGAGTCCAAAATCAAGTGAAATAACATGTCAAAGGGTTTTATATTAACTTTTAAAATGGATTAGTTTCAATCTTTTTATGACAGTGCATTAAAAAATAATAATCCATCCTCATTTAAAATTTGCTCATCTGATCACAATGAGCCTCATCCCTACCACACTCTTCCATCTCTGTGTGTTGTTCTACCAGGGAATTCTCTCTGTGATCTTCATCTGGCAGCAAGTCATAATTAAATAATTAGTCTTATTTAATTTTTATTTGACTTCAAATACTTATTTTTTCCCTTCAAACTCTTAAAATAATTGCAATATTAGACTCTAGCTGACAGAATTGTTGGGAAGGTCACGGAATGTCTGGATTTGTCAGCCAACTCATGTTACTTCCAAGTAATTCACTTTGCTGTTTACTAACTCAGAACTGGGTGGGGGGAAGAGAAAATATATATATACATAAATTTAAAGTCCTGAACTCACAACCTATGGAGGGTACTAAAAGTATAAAAGTGCTTCAAGGTACCTCCAACCAGCTGGCAATTTCAAGTTAGAAGGTTGAAGATCCTTCAAATTAAGACATGTGCAAAGAAATTAAATTAATTGGCACTGCAAGTTCCCCAAATTTATGCCATTTCTAATATGATATATCTACTAATAAAAACTGAAAACATGTCAATAAAATCAAATCTGTCCTTCTGTATAAAGCAATGAGAAAAGAATAGTGAAACATAAAGAATAAAAGCACTAACACATGCCACAACTAATTGTGACAATCTTTATAATATCAATCTAGTTTTCAAATTAATCTAAAACTGTCATTCTTACCATATTTTTTCTTTGATATACTTATCAGATTGTTTCAAGTGTTTTTATGTAAAACCACATCACATCCACTGAACACTGTTATCATTGTCTTCAAGCCATTACTAAAGAAGAAATTCAGTCCCTGGGTTCAAAACATCATCTAAAATATTTCAAGTAACACATAAAAATGTGAAATGCAAAAGTCAAAAGTTAAAGGAGCCAGTGTGACATTTTAAATTACCTTTGCTATAGGTTGAACTGTGTTTCTCAAAAAAGATATGTTGAAATTCTAATACCCATTTTCTCAGAATATGACCTTATTTTGAAGTGGGATTTTTTACAGAGGTAATCAAGTTAAAATGAGGCCATTGGGTGGACCAAAATCCAGTATGACTAGTGGCCTTATAAGAAGGGGAAATTTGGACACACAGGCAGACGTGCACAGAAAGATGATATGAGGGGACACAAGGAGAACATCATGTGAAGACAGAGGACTAGAGT